AATTGCATTTAAATCGGCAATATTTAACTATTATTTTGTGTTTCTCAACCGCCAGATACATTTAAAAAGGTTGCTAACTGAGTAAACTACAAAATAAAGCTAAAACAAAGTAATCAGTTTGAGAGGAATGCCAAAAAGATTTGCAAATACGCAAAATTAAAAAAAAAATTGAAAAGAATTGCCTCTTAAATAGTCACTCACGATTTCCTCAGCTTTCGTCATGGTTTTATAGCAAAAACGTAGAAACAGACTGAAAGTTGACAGCATTGTCAAATACTGTAATACGTTATACAGTAATTATATTAAACAGATTTATGTATAACATATAGGTGAAACAAACTATACAGTGGTATATAACAACCAACGTATAGTTATATTTAAGAACGAACTTTCTCTAAGCCTCATGTTAATAATAATACTGTATATTTCGTGTTCAATGTATAGACCACAGTAAGATTTTTTTAATGTGCTTATTTGATCTATCAATGAGGAAAACCTCTCATATGAGCGGAAATAAGCTGCTGAGGTTACAAGGCCAAAATATTAGGTCAGAAAGTTCGATTTATATAAGCAGTCATCGTTTTGATTGCAAGCCCTTAAAAGTCTGACAAAAGAGAGAATCTCCACTTAAACACTTAGTGTACAACATGTTAATACTTAATATGTACTTTAACTGATCCAGGTCATCTGTAAATGTTTGTTTTGGGAATGCCAAACCAGGACTGGAATGAACGACAACTGGCATTCTGAAGTCAAAATATGCACTGTTGTCCCACCATTTGGCAATCTAAAAACATAATTTATCTATAATTGTTTTCTTCCCTTTAAATCTACCGGGTTTCCCCCTAAAAACTGCACACTGTTTGATTTCATGCAACGTAAAAGCTATAAAAGCTATCGCAATGAAATAAAGATCGTTGCATTCAGAAAGGACTAACTTAAATTTTCATACATAGCACTTGAATTTGCGTTGCACTATTTCCACTCTGCGATGCACTATTTCTAGCAATTCTAGGTCTGCATATTAATTTTGTGACGTCATGCAGAGGGCCTATATATGTACCGGGTGTCCCAAAAAAAACTGGATACTGTTTGATTTTATGTAACGTAAAAGCTATAAAAGCTATCGCAATGAAATAAAAATCATTGCATTCAGAAAGACTAACTTAGATTTTGATATATAACACTTGAATTTACATGCAATATAATGAACGAGACATAACTGTTTGAATTTGGATCGAATGCGTTGTAGGAATTGGTGAAGACCCGGTAAAAATTGGCTGTTTTATGCTAATTTTTGGCATTTTCAAAAACAGTAGTTCAACGTTCAAACATCAATAGCGCAGTCAATACTGCATGTAAATTCAAGTGCTATATATCACAATCTAAGTTAGTCCTTTTTGAATGCACTGATCTAAATCAAACAGTGTCCAGTTTTTTTCGGACACCCGGTATATTTAATGGACCGAATCCCCCTAATGAACAAAATTTTGACATAGCCAAGTCTAGACAAAAATTTCATCACAGCTTCAAAAAGTATCATAAAATTAGTAATATTATGAAGTTTCGTTGCGAAATGTTGTAAAATGCGGATAATATAGCCCTGCGAAGTTTGCCATTTTTCAGTCATTTTGTATTACGCACGGGAAACTGATACCTTTTTTCAGAAAGCGGTATCGATTTCCCGTGCGTAATACAAAATGACTGAAAAATGGCAAACTTCGCAAGGCTATATTATCCGCATTTTATAACATTTCGCAACGAAACTTCGGAATATTACTAATTTTGTGATGCTCTTTCAAGCTGTGATGAAATGTTTGTCTAGACTTGTCTAGATCAAAATTTTGTTCATTAGGGAATAGGTCCATTGGCATTGCTTTCCTTAATCTATATATTTTCATTTCATTGGTATACCCTGTAGTTGAGCTAGCTGTTCTGTTTCCCTCAAGATTCATTTGTCCATTCATTCTCCATTATCATTATCATTATCATTCAAAATTATTTTTCTTCACTGGTCACTGGTCTTCATTGCATCTAATTCATTTCCTCTCAACTGTATTTCATTTCCCTTATCCCTTAATTTCATTAATTTCTGTTGTATTTAATTTATTTTCATTTCTGAGATAGTCCATCCTATATTCCAAACATTGAATTCTTTTCAAAGTATCTTATACTCTACTGAGTCTACTCCAGTTGATAATTAATCCTTTCCTGTTGGTAATATTCTTGGCTTTGTGCATGCTGAATTGTTACAAGTTTCAAACTAAAAACCTTTAATCTTTTATTAAAGATCTATTCAATTCCGTCAGTTCTTTAAACAGCGTTCGTACAGGTCAGGAACTTTGGCCTTTGTAATAAGACATGAACAAAATCAATTTACAAAATGTCCAATTCTTCATGCCAAACAATTTCAGAAAATATCCACTAAAGCAACAACATTTTAAGGACTTCAAGCACTTTTTTATAAACTCAAGAACTTTCAAAGCCTTTTTTGTTTCCAAATTCAAGGACTTTCAAGTATTTTCAAGTTTTGCACGAACCCTTTATTAAACAATGTCTGCATACTCAATTTTGGCTAGTTGTCATGGTTTGTGTCAGATTTGCCTGAAAGACCCTTGGCAAAGTCCCTGCCTTGAAATTATATTTCATTTTCATGTAAACCTATAAGACACTTAAACAACCTACCCAATTTACTTCAACTCTTGACCTCTCAATTAATTTCTCCTGCAACATTTCGCCAATCCCACTTTCCTTTCCAAAATCCTCGGCAATCCTCTTTGTCTTATTAAAGTCGTTATCCTCGACCAAGCATCTCACAGCCAGCAAGTACTTTGACAAACTTTGTTGTAACTGGGGTACGGGGAGGTGGGGTAGTTCTATCTGTTTTGCAAACATGTTTCCTTTTCTGGCTGGGGAGGAGGTTTTGAACAGCGCCTTTGATTGCCGTGCCATTCCTGAATTTAACTTCAGTGAAAATCAAACAAAACGGATATGAATGAATTATGTTGCATAGCCATGACACTGATTTTATGCTGGGGTTTAGGGCAGGGTGTACATCCCGGGAAAGTTAGTGCCCCTCGCCAGTATCAGTACCACCCTCCTCAATATCATGCGTATTGAAATTGTCGTTTATGATAAAATCATGGGATTTTAGACATAATTTGCAGTTGTGGTGGAAGGGTGCACCCCTCTGAAAAATAGGCATTCCCTCAGACAAGCCTGGATCCACACCCACATGGCTAGAGTATTGGGGGGGAGGACTGCATGGGGTAACATGCATTATAGCCAGGCATGCTCATCGAAAATGGGAGGAAAGCTCCTCCTCTCAAAATTTCCAAAGGTTAATGCTAATTTCTCCTCCAATCCTTGTCCAAATAAAGAAAATTTCCCGCAACATCCTCAAAAAGGTTGAAAGCAATAGTAATGTTTTCAGGGGCGTCGCTAGCTCTATTTTAATGGGGGGGGGGAGGTGTAAGTGTAATTTTGCCGAGTCATCTCAACCACTAATTAATTTGCCAAGTCATCTCAACCAACTATGAAAACGATTTGTCGACTGGGATTTAATAATTTGCTGAATACATGACAAGTGGCATACCCCTAGCAATGTCTGTGACCATGACCAGTGCCATACCCCTAGCAATGCCCCTGGTGGTTTTTGATATTTAGGCGTGGTCACTAATGCAATATCAGAAATGTCAACAACTGAAAAACCCCATACATTCGATGAGCCATCGCGTATAATTATAGAGTTTATGAATATCAAAAACAACTATTGCTTTCAACCTTTTTGCATAAGATGGTCATGTATAACATACACCTGTACAACTGGTGTAATCAATTTGTCCTTGGGCACTGCATATCTCACAAATTTTTGTATTAATATCTTTGATATTTTTAAGTAGTCATACTGACAGACAGAAAAACACACACACAGACAAATGCGGATGAAAACATAACCTTGTGGCAGAAATAAATATGCTTATAGTGCCTAAGCCTGTGTACAATAGCTTGGAAAGAGTAAATTCATATGGTGATTTTTCATACTACCTAGCCAAAATCTCAGCACATGTGATTGTTGGATGAGCTTTGAGCTAGCATCATATATAAATATTAAACGCTGGGATAAATATGAAATTGTTTGCTTATTTTGTTTTATACATTACACAAATCTCCCAAAACAACTAAATACGTCAAAAATTACATAACTAAACATACCATCCTTGCAGATTTTGATAGCATTTTGTCCTTGTTTCTTTGACCACTAGTCGAATTCTTCGATTTTGATCCAAAATTTGCCAAATTTGTTTTGTCAAATTGTGAAATTTCTAAAGTGCTTGACATCTGATAATTCTAGCACTGAAATGAAGAATCCAAGTTTAAGACAACGTGCCAAACTTACAACCTTAAAGCGACAAAATTAAGTAATAAAATGCATTTGAAAGAACAGAAATTTGAATAATGACATGCCAACATGGCAATCCAAGCAGTGTTTTTGTGCACGGGTCAAAGTCCATCGTGAAGAGATCGGGACCCCCGAAGACTTGTCGTTGTCGATGCGACTAATAGTCGAAATATTCCGAACATTACTTTTTTAAAAAACTAAAAACTTAACTTTGAAATGCACTGGATGATAACTGGATGGCGATTTATTAGAAAACGGCAATGGTCCTTAATACTAGACCTCTAGGGTAAACAGTTTGGAATCGATAGAACTTTCCCACAATTTATTTTAATTTTGTTCTAGCAATAAAAAAACAAACAATGGTCATAAATGTTAGTTTAGGTTCCCTCCTGAGTAGTTAAATATAACATAAGCAAGTTGATTATGTCGAAAATAAGCATTTATTTTATTCTATAATATTTTAAAGAAAAAAAATTTCAAATCCCAAAGTAGAAATGTAGAATGTCCTTCAAAATGATTGATTGCAAAGTTAAGAACATCTTTTGGGTGTGCTGTGCCATGAACTTTGGCGTTTCGTTACCATGGATACGAAGTTGAACAAAATGGCGGATGATTCTGGAAATTTTGTTTTTGAAAGAAAAGTATACATTTCATGTTGAAATAGCGAACTGAAAACACAGAATGTCACAAAGTGATGTGAAATATGTTCGTGTGTTACCGAAAGACAAGATATATCGAAATATTTTTGAAGCAGAGGTGCGTAAAATCTGTGTTTGAATAGGAATAAAATATAGATTTATATAGCCGTATTAATAGCCCTGCCTTGTAACCCTTGTTTACGTTTTGCTGACAGGCAAATGTTTTTGAAAAGCTCCCGAGAGAACTTTGTTATTGTGGAACGCATTGTTGCACCACAATGGAGGACATATATTTCCTTTATATAACCGGAATTTGCCTGTCAGCATATAAATGTATTAAAACAATATGCAAGGCGCCAAGGGGGATATTTACAAGACATCAAGTGGTCAGGTCATGTATTTTTGTGCAATTTAATGCTGTATAAGATATTTTACATGTTTATGTTTAAAAATAGCCTCTATAGACTGCTTTGTAAGTTTAAAAACTTGGAAATTTCACCGTACCTCACAGAGTAAGGCTGATGGAATTAAGGTATCAGTTTACCGTCACCTAAAATTTCAAAAGTTGATGCGGATTTTTTTCATTATTCATTATTTTTCACGATTTGAATTTGTCAAACTTTGACCTAAAAATCCGAATTTTGACCGAAAAAATCCAAGAAAATTTTGACGATTCTTGAGCTTTTTGCTATCTTTCGAGCTATCAGTTATGTCTTTGACTCTGTTTCGCTGTGGCTTCGCTACGCAGGCTATGGCTTCGCTAACTATATAAACAAAGTCAGTATTTGCCAATAATTTCAACAGAAAGCCACTTTTGAAACACTTGCTCTACAAATTTGACAAATAATGAAAAAATATTGAAATAATGAAAATTTCACGCAGCTGCCAATAACACACACAGGCGGCCAGGCGGGTGACGGTAAACTGATACCTTAATTCCATTGGCCTAATATTAAATATCACCGAATACATATACTGAGATACACAGCATTAAAATACAAATACTATGATTTTATGAAGCCTATGAAATACTGTATTAAATTTTGCCATCAAATTATCACTTGTATTACTTGGGTATGGTAAACTGTACAGTAGCAATATTGTGTACCTATTAAACTAAGGGGTCACGTCCATATTCATGTTGCCACAAATAATGTCAAATCGACGTTATGAGTGGGTGGGTTTTTATGTGAACTTATCAACGTTATCTCGTGGCAATTTGACAATTAATGTCCAAAGTAACTTGTATCATAAATATGAAAGTCAAAATACGACTGAATATCGATCAACGTTATCTGGAGTGGGTGCATGGTGAAGAAATAACGTCGATTCGACATTATTTGTGGCAATATGAATATACAAACATATAACAACATAACAGTTGTGCTGTAATATCATTGTAGCAAAACTTGAACAAATCTTTAAAGAAGGAAAGAAAGATAACAAATCCTAAACGAGAGCCGACGTTACCGGTTTTAAAACAACCAGTAGCATTCACCGATGGCAGTGGTATCTTGTCACAACGACAGAAAACTTGGGTCGAAGCAAATCCAAATGAACCACATGTTGAAAACCCTACGTATCTCAGGTTCATGATACTATATTTGTAATCTATTACACCTGATTTGATTATTTCTTGTAAAACACAATACTTACTGCTCAGAAGACAAACTCTGCATTTAAATTCAAATTGCTTCCAAGCATGTGTGGAAAACTAGACTCCATTACCAGCCACCATTTATAGGTCAATGACATATTTTTATATGAATCCCTGGTCAAACGAGGATGTGAATTGAAAAGCAAGAGATTTGAGCAATGAGCAGGGACGCCGGAACTGGGGGGGGGCAGGGGGCAGCCCCCCCCTGCCTTTTGCCAGGGGGGGCAGGGGGGGGCAGAAGTGCCCTTTTAGTTTTAAAAAATTACGTGATAAATCACATTTAGAACGATGGTTTTTGTCCGAAAATTATGAGATTCAGACATTAACAGTTTATATTTCACTAACGGTATGTCCGGAAAAATTTTTTGACCCCTAAAATGGTACACTGACCGAAAAATTTCGGAAGATTTTCAAGGTTTTCTTTAGAGAAGTGCCCTTGCTGTGTGTCCGCCCCCCTTTGCCTTATGATCGTTCCGGCGTCCCTGGCAATGAGGTTGGCAAGCATACTTTGTGCTCTTGCACCTCTCAAATGAGAACAAGAATTGCATAAAGGCCTGTATACACTTGCAATTTTAGGTGTGATTTTCTCATCCTGGTGTATGTGAACAAATGGATGAGTTAGAAATGTTTAGGTGAGGGCACAGATATCTGATACTCAGAGCATTCATTTACTCTGAGCATTCATTTACTTGTTTACATCCATCAGAAGAACATCGCACTAGAAATCACAGTAAAATTTGCAAGTGTAAATGCCACTAAACGGGCCTTAAGAGATGATTAGCTGGTTGGCTGGATTGTAGACAGTTTGGATATCACATGCAGTCAAACGAGCAAAAACTCTCGTCAAAATTCCACCAACTCAAGAACGCAAACACGAAAAATACTTGTTTAATTATTGATGATTTATTTAGCATCAATTGATTTTTATCGTTTACTATAAATACGTTTACACCAGATATTTATGGCTGGATGAACAAGAGAAAAGTGCCAAATCAGAGAGTTTTTATGAAGCGCAAGAAGTGAGAGGATTACCCGAAGTAAATGATGGGCAACGTAAGTGTCGAGTATTACAGTGCTCTACTGCTCTGCCCTGAAACATTCACAAAACAAGTGCACCACAAGCGTAAAGACGCACTACAAAGGCTTATGATTCCAAAGCAGGCCTCGAATTTCCCTGAAATCAATCGACGGCAATGACGTTAAAAATTTCCGTAGAACGTAACAGCTGTCTACGGCAATTTTGGCAGTTTCCACGGCATTTTTCAAATTACTGTAATAAAACTTTAATTTAATTGTTACTTTGGATTTTGGACAAGCTAGAAACATGTCTACGTATTTCTTTAGTGTGTTTTTTTTCCAAGAAAACTGAGACTAATAGTGATTTACGCTTGATTTGATCAACATCTGAATAGTATAAAAATTGCACTATACGGCAAAAAATTGCCGTCGTTGCCGCAATGATCCAAGGCATTTTGTTCTCCCTCTACGGCAATTGCCGCGATAAAATTCGAGCCATTACGAGCGGGAAACGGTTACCACTTTCAGTCATTTTGCGTAATACAAAATGACTGAAAATTACAAACTTCGCAAGGCTATATTATCCGCATTTTACAACATTTCGCAACGAAACTTTGGAATATTACTAATTTTGTGATGCTCTTTCATGCTATGATGGAATTTTGTCTAGACTTGTTGAGATCAAAATTTTGGTTAATTGGGGAATGGTCCATTGTCGCATCCAGAAAATGTGCCTGCGAGCAGTGCTCGCACGGTCTTAAGTTACACTTTAATGATGCCCGTAGAGATCCAGAACGGACGTGGGCCATGCTCACTATATTTGTGCAAGCACATTTCTACCTAACAATAGTAACATTGCTGTGTGTCAGAAATTTGTGTATAGTTGCTCCAAGAGGTTCAGATTTGATTTCCACTACCGCTACCACTAAGAGACCATTAACTTCCTATATCTGATTAACCAATCACATGGCCGGGTACTAAGTCAGTGAGCGATAGTGGAAATCAAATCTGAACCTCTCTAATTCATGCAATTAACAGTTTGTTGCCTTTTCCATTATAGGTACTGGCAGCTCAAAGTCGAGAAATGTTGTCGAAAAAATTAACGAAAGCAGAAAAGAAAGGTTTAGATAAAATCCAGTTATTTTTTCTCAAAGTACGTAGTACGTTCTTCATACTGTCACATGTTTCTCTATAGACACCAGGCTGCATTAGAAGAATTCCATCAGGAACTTGGGATTATCAGTGCAGTAAGTTTAAATGATGATTTTTGTGTGTGTTGGTGTAATGTACTCAGGTGAATATGATGTTTCTGGCTAGTATCCCAAAGGTCGCGGGTTCGATTCCCACCGTGGTCAGGCGAACTTTTCAGCTTGCCCGATGTGGATGTACACTCAGAGTAACATCACAAACATCAAGTTTAACTGCCGTATTAAACTCAAGGGTGGGTTGACTACAAAATTTTTGTAGTTCGCTATAACTACAGCTACTTCAAAAATATGTAGTCAGCTACAACTACTGCTACTTTTGAACAAAGGTAGTTCGCTACTGACTACAGCTACTGCTTAAAAAATGTAGCGAACTATTTCGCTATTTCGCTACACTATATTTTTTTAGTTTTACTATATTTGGAGCATCTACTAACTCAGGCTGTAATGTAATCTATAACAAATCGACTTACGAGTAGCAACAGTAAACACAAAGCAACATTTTTGTAAGCACTACAGTGTTCAGGAGTGCAAATTGACTATTGAGTATTGATTTTAAGCAAACCGTGTCTCAATATAATGCTATTCTATCAAGTTGCTATAACAATTTTAAAAAGTAGCGAATAGCGATTCGCTGTTTGAAAAGTAGTCAACTACTTGGCTACTTTTAGGCAAAATGTAGTTCGCTATAACTACAACTACTGTTTTAAAAAAAGTAGTCAAAAACTACTGGCTACTTGAAAATTGTAGTTCGCGGCTACAGTAGCGAACTACAACTACTTCGCTACAACCCACCCTTGATTAAACTATACATGAAAACGATTACAAGAACATTACAATAGAATAGAATAGAGTTTTTGTTGTAAGAATTTTTTGAGGGAACTGCTCATTGTCTAACACTGAGTCAGTTTCCTCAAACATTTCTTACAAATCCTTCAAAACTTAGAATTTACCTATGCAAAATTCCTACTGTGATCACAGAAACTTTGTTGGTGTAAACCATCCTTTATAACACTCAGTAAGTTTCCTCAAACATTTCTTACAAATCCTTCAAAACTTAGAATTTACCTATGCAAAATTCCTACTGTGATCACAGAAACTTTGATAGTGTAAACCATCCTTTATAACACTCTGTAAGTTTCCTCAAACATTTCTTACAAATCCTTCAAAACTTAGAATTTACCTTTGCAAAATTCCTACTGTGATCACAGAAACTTTGATAGTGTAAACCATCCTTTATAACACTCAGTAAGTTTCCTCAAACATTTCTTACAAATCCTTCAAAACTTACAATTTACCCATGCAAAATTCCTACTGTGATCACAGAAACTTTGATAGTGTAAACCATCCTTTATAACACTCAGTAAGTTTCCTCAAACATTTCTTACAAATCCTTCAAAACTTAGAATTTACCTATGCAAAATTCCTACTGTGATCACAGAAACTTTGTTGGTGTAAATCAGCCTTAAATAACTGCATTTTAAAATAACTGCAATAATAATTATACGTAGTGTTTCCACAAACCAAAGTTTAGAATTATATCACTAAAGTTTGTTTTATACTTTCAGGAGCTTGAACCACGCATTGCCGAGTCGAGTGAGATTTTAAGGGATGGTTTTGCTGCAAATAACGAAGGTATATAGCTATATGTTTGTTGTTTTGCCATACATATTTCGTAAGTTTCGTACAAGTTTCTCATTTCCATTAGCAATAAATAAGATAGAAATTAAGTGTGGATTAATTTTACATTTTAAAATAAAAAAGGGTGTATTAGGGCACATTGTTGCTTAATGGGTAATGATCGATCTGATTCGCTAGCGTGAACGGCTCCTAAAACGACCACAGAGTAAATCGAGGGTGCATTAACTACTTCAGTAACCGATCCGCTTTTGTTTTCTAGAGCTCTCAAAAGTCGTGCAACTCTTTAGCGATGACAAGGTAGCTGGTTTCTTTTAAATTAACTTTCTTAGCAGAAGAATAGAATGACGTTTAAAATTTCGGTTATAAAATTTTAGAATTTTTCAAACAATTTTTTTGGTGTTGGGGACTGGTTTTAAGTCTACTGTCCAACAGATATTTTCAAACTGATATACTGTAATAACCTAATATGTATCTTTTCAGGATTTATTGAAATACTCTCTGGAGGACCTGTACAAACTTTGGCAGTGTATTGCTGAAATATCTTCTAATAGACAAGTGTACATTATCGACCTCGCCAAGACGTTTGAAACTATTGAGCAAGATC